AAATAAATAAATAACATTTACCATGAGTTCACTCTGTGCCTGACCTGTATAAACTGCTTCTCAGGTTTCATTTCAGTGATTATTCATAAAGACCGCGATGGAGTGGGGTCCTCTCTTGGACCACTGTTTACAGATGATGATATGTGTCCTACGTATATGCTAGAATAGAACCCTCTGACTTGAGGCTAAGAAGACATGGTAAACTATTGCTCCCATTTACAGAAGGGGAGACTGAGGTAGTGGGAAATATATGGCTTGTTAGGATTAGGGCATGAGTTTCCTGAGGCCTGCTCCCTCCTATTCCAGGAAGGGACCCCAGCCAGCAGACCCCGGACCAGACAGGGTAACACGATGACTGTACCATCTTACCTGCTGTGGTGATGAGCTCGACAGGAAGTGGATGACCACCTGTAAGGACAAAGCCAAGGAAGTGAGCAGGGACCCCAGAGGACATCCCACCCAATGCACCCATTTTACAGATGGGAAGACTAAGCCAACCAATGGCTAAGCTTGTCTTGTGTTCCTACTGCGCATTAAAGCCCAGCTCTCTAAAACGCCCTGCAGCCTGAAGGATCAGGGAGCAAGACACCAACCAAACTCCCCTTGATACTTTTCCTGCCCCAGCTCTTACCTCATTGCTGATCACATTTTCTGTCACTTTTGTGCCACACTTTGAGTAGGCACTGCGCAGAACAAACTTGGCATCACTGTCTTCAGCCTGACAGCTGGTGTCCCGGAAGGTCAGTCCCGTGACGGTGCAGTGCACAGCCTGGGCCAAGAAGGGGAGGAGAGGGGACCGTCAGGAAACACTGAGCTCCCTGGAGACCGTTCATCACACTCCAGCACCGTGGACCGACTGTAATCTCCCGATCACAACCATTCCTCTGCTCTTCTCATCATTTGTTAAGTCTCATCATCCTACACCATTTCAGATTTAATAGTTTTCTTGAACTTGACTGATTTTTTTACTTAGTCTCGTCCTAAGCAATATTATCTGTGATATTGTGAGTTTGATTTGCTACTTATTATTTTTTCTTATATCTAGATTTATATGTTGTTGTTAAGGGCTGTCAGGTCAGCACCAACTCACAGTGACCCTGTGTACGACAGAATAAGACACTGCTCAGTCATGTGCCATCCTCACAATCCATAACAATTGAAAGCATTCATTGTAATCATCATTCACAGCTGCAGGGAATGCGGACCCCACAGCACAGTCTATCTCAGAACCACAGACCTGGAGTCAGCAAACTTTTCCAATAAAGGGTCAGACAGTAAATATTTTCAATTTTGTGGGCCCTATGGCCTCTGCTGTAAATATTCAACTTACCATCATAGCATGAAAGCAGCCACAGACACTAAAAATGAACGGGTATGGGTGTAGTCTAATAAAACTTTAGTCACAAAAACAGGCAGGGGGTCATAGTTTGCCAATCCTTGTCTTTAGAATTTCTTAGGCCCTCTTAGCATCAAAGAATCTAAGTCTTAGAGTTGAGCAGGCTGTTGGAGATCTCATTTGAGTCCATCCAGCTAACTCTTGTCCACTCCTCCAGGATAGCTACCCTTGACTGCTACCGCCCCCTCCTGCTACCTAGGGCCATATTAGCAGACACCAGCCCAACAAATAAAATGGTTCTGAGTGAAGTCCCCAGTGACTGGTATTCAAACTTGCCCCCTGACCACATTTTAGAAGTCAGCAAGAAGGCAGTAGCTCCACATTTGGGGTGAATCTGTTCAGACCTTTTTCTTTGTGTTCTCTTCTATACAGACACATGTATTAGGGAAAATGTGCAGACCTGTATCTGTTGTATTTTTAACAAATGGCATCATACTGTCTGTCCATTCTGCAGCTTAGTTTCCTCACCCAACAATGCATCATATACATCTCTCTGTGTCAGTATTTATAGATCACCTTTTTTTAAAAACAAAAACAAAAACAAAAAAACTACAGCAGTGTATTCCAAAGATTAATGAATTATAATTTATTCCTTCAGGCACCTACTGATGGACATTTAGGTTTCCAAGTTTTCTCTTAAAAACAATGTGACAGGGATATCCCTTTGTAACAGGTAATAAATAGGGTAATGGAATTAATGGGTCATAAAGCAACATTTACAAGGTAAATCTTAATGATAATCTAGAATGGCTGTGGTCAGATTGTCTTCCATGGGCTGTATCAGGACCTGAACTTCCATCAGCAACATAGGAAGGTTCCATTTTCCCTCACCCTGGGCAAGGTGCTGTTTTTCTCTCTTACCTACTTCTGAACGCTCCAAGGACTGTCCAGCTAATTTGTCTAAGAGAACTTCTCTTTATTTCCAGTAAGAAAGCAGTTTTTAAGATTTGGGTAATAAGTTGGGAGTCTAGAAAGGCTGTCAAGACGTAGAAACAAGGAGACTCGGGACTGGGCAGAAGCCAATACCTCCTCCTCCATCTTGGCATTTGCTGGGCCAGGCAGAGGCAGGGGACAAGGGGAAGGCAGGCAGCAGACAGGTGGCGCCTCTCGTGCCCTATATCCCAAAAAAGTTCCATGTAGACAACCACAGAGTTAAACGCCATTCTACAAATCCCTTAGAGAACATGGATGATCTATCAAGGGCTCTGGAGAGAGATTTCATACCTTAGAAAGGCTGGAAGAAATCACAAAGAGAAAGATGGACCGCTAGGATGGACCAGTGTTTTAAAACACCCCCAAAGTTAAAAACCACTAGAACCAGAATTTAAACAATTAAAACAAACTGGGGGCGGGAAATGATTTCAATAAGAATGATGGACAAAGGATAAAAAAAATAAGTTTTTAATATAAAACACTTATAAAAATTATCAAGAAAAGTACCAAGCCCCGATCATAAAGAGGCTTTGGTTATTATCAGTCAAATGGAGCCATGCCCATGCTCACTATTAATCAAAGAATTAAAAATTAAAACAAGAATCAAACAAGATGCTCTCATAAATCAGCAGGGAAAATTTAAATCATCTTTTGGAAAGCAGGTTGGAAGTAAATAGCAAAACTTCCAAAATGTTCACTCATTTTGACCTAGCAATCTCACTAATGGGGAAATCTACCCTAAGAAAACAATCCTAAAAAAGAAAGTGTTAGGTAGAAACATGGCTGGCCAGGCAGGTGAATGATTAAGCCAGAGGGAATGATAAGAACTGGTCAAGCAAGGAGGCACCTGACCAGAGCCCATACCAAACCC